GCAGTTCCAATCGTTCATACTGCGGCGGAAGGCTACATTGAAGACTCACTTTTGAATGACTGAAGAAAATATTACTCCAAGAATTGAGGGTAGTGGTTTCGGTGGTTCATTTAATTTTAGTACTTGTTCAAATTGTGTATTTAATATCAATGTGGATAAAAAAATTATTGTAAATATTGTTGAATAAACCTTTATAAATTAAAACTTGATTAACACTTTCAATCCTTTATCAATTTAGCTCCTAAGATTAAAAGTGAATACATTTATTGCTATGATACCAATTTTTTTTGCTCAGTAAGGAAAATGTCAATAGAGACTTTTGACCATAGATCTAATATAGTATACTATTAAATCTATGTTTTTGACAGTCAAAAAATGACATAGTTTTGTGACTGTTGGAGAAAAAAACATTATGAAGCACAGTGTACATCTTACACTTGGACTGCTTAAATTTTCTGTAAAAGTAATGTAAATAGTCACATTTGACACTTCATTTGACATTTTTCGTCTTTCAGTCGTTTTACGACGTTTGTTATACGTCATATTATATTTTTGGAACGAGCTATGCCATCAAATAATATATCCACAAGCGTCAATGATCGAGAAAATTAATTAGAAAATAAGAAAAACCGCTGCAAGCACTGGGTACTTTTATTAATAAAGAGAAAGTTACGGGGTCTAGCCTTTGCATGTATATTACGTGTCTAAAGATGTAATATTTACAATTTCACTTCGATATCCGCTTGAGACAGACATACCGAGTTGCTGTTGAGAGATCGCCTTTATGTACGTAGATACGAAAATACAACCAGACAAAACGTGTAGAGTCGCAATGTGTTTAATTTTACCATGCCGCCATATTGTTGGCGTCAAAAAAACAAGAAAGAGGCCGAACTGAGGTGAAAAAGATGTTGTAAAGATGCAATATTTTTGACCCGCAAAAAAAACTGTAATAAATATAGCAGTTTATGTAAAAAGACATTGATGTGACGCTAACTGTTGAAATGTGTCCAAAGCTGTCATCAGTCCAACGGTACCATTTTTGTCTGTGTATATAAACCGAATAATATTCGTTGTATATAACACCCAAAGACACACCTAAACTTAGATCCGTCAACAAAACAACACATTCAAAGTAGCCGGAAGTCCTTTTCTTCCTTGATCTGAAATCATATGAAAAAATTGGCACTTTGGAATGTAGATTATGAATAATAGAATACGTTTGTTTTAGTAACACCTCTCAGGAAGTTCCTGCTCGAAAACCTTCTACTAATTTGCACAAAGGTCAATGTCAGTGTCAACAGGAAACAGACCGGCTATCTACAAATTAAAATTGTGAGGGAGATAACATGTATATTATTATATATGTGAAGTCTAAGACCTAAACACTTGTTTATGTAATATATTAAACACCTAGTTAACTTACGCATGAAAATGCTAGATGTTTAACTATGTAGGTATATTATACAGGGTGATTCACAAATGGTGATCAAAAATGAAACCTCGTATTATTTTTCAGTATTTTGCAAGTTTTTTGTTAATAAACATCTTATCGACATCCGGGCAAACTTCTACCCAAAAAATTCGTGTTCTGCAGCTCAAAATACATAAAAAAACACTTGGGTAACTCCATCTAAATGAAGAAGGCAATTGGGATCCCCCTGGCTACAAGACTATTATAATGTGGCTTCGACCTACTCAAGATTTAAAAGAATAAGCGAGATATGGCGCAAAGGCTGCACGCCAAAGATACTTTACTAGCGTTGGGTTAGGTTATATTAAGTATGATACGTAAATATTCATATTTTCATAAAATTTTTCACTCTAAACTGGATCTGAATCGTCAGCTCATTAGAAATTATATTGTCCGCGCCTGAGGGTCGAAGTTGAGGTCTATTCTATTTGAAAATAAAAAACTCGCGTGCGTGTAAACCCTATCAGTATGATCACTAATCGCTCGGAAAGTAAACCAGTTTATGTTAAAAGGTGTTTGAAAAAAAGATTGAGAATAATATTTTAACGCTAAAGATATGTTTCGATTGCACGTACTGTGACATTAAAAAAATATAAATGTGTTGAATTTTAAATTTTTTGGGAAAGTATACTTTAAAAAATGGAAAACAACCCTATGTACGTTGTTTGTTGTTTAGCTCAAGTCAGTATTGAGATTCCCAAAGTAGGCAGTTCCTAGATCTGAAAACAGAAAAACATTGTTATACACTGGACTGGCTTATGAATTTAAATAAAATTAACATGCAGATGTCTTGCATAAGAAAAGAAATCACATCCGTCTCAACCCATCCTTCGCGATCGTGCTTCCCGCGGCATTTTGAATGATATTGCCGCTCATTCCTCGACCATTATCTCATAACGTAACCGAATAAGGCACAAAAAACTACGACGGGGCACCAAGATCCGTATCTATCCGACACATCCATCACAGCGGGTTTTCCAAAGCGGTCGAATTGTCGAAGATTTATGGATTTATTGTCGCATGGCCCACATTGGCGCCTTTTAGCTAGACCATGGTCAGTGTCAAGGCCATGTGGAATGGCATGCGAAGCGCCCACCTCAAACGCGAAATTTGAGGGCGATTAAGTAATAAATAGCTCTTTTATTGCCAGGCGAGTTTATTTATCGATGCTCGTTTGGTTTATGTGTTTGCGTCGCCGCCGGTAGGGATTCCCGAGGATGCCGCAACAAACCGGTAGAGATTTTAAAAAATGTCGTTGGCCAGCAGAATGTCGATTTTTTCACGAATTTGACGTCCGTGACCGCCTGAAATTGACTTATCAGGATGACTGTGATAATGCAAATCGAGTTCTAAGTATTGATGTGACACAAGGTGGTCTTGGTCGTTAATTAGAAAATACAATAACGTACTGTCGTATTTCGTCCCGAATTTCACTCCACTTTTGAATCTGACTTACGAAAAAAATAGGGTCCAATTAAATATGGGCCCAGTATTCCACTTCAAACATTAACGGACCACCTATTCTGATTTCTTTGACTCTGTATTGATGCGGATTCGAATCTGAATAGGTAGTAGTGAAAGTTGTGTCTATTCACGAGACTAAAAGTTTACATTTCCTGTCACTTTATCTAACACCCACATGAAATCTGTGTTTTTTAAGAATTCTTGAAATACCTACTTGCTTGACTAAGGTTATTATTTTTGGATATCTGATTTTGATTAATACTGGAATTTTCAATAACTGAAGCAAGTACCGTAAAAATATTTTCTTCGCCTTCTTGGCAACTAGATACATCGGAATTTTTATGTAAAATACACGAAATGATGCAAAGAACGATTATTTGGTGTATTATGTAAAAACGCGAAGACTTAGCTATGAACACCCTAATACCATTCGATAGGTAGTTAAAAAATATGGCTATTTAAATTAATCAAGTTATAGTCACTTTTATTTGATTAATTTTAATTTTTGGACACCCTGTATAAGATGGCAAGTTTATTATTGGTATATAAAATATGATCTATTGTTACACTTCAATGTAAATTTCGCTTACATATCTGATATACTTCTTAAGTATTTATTTGAAACAAGAAAATCAGGTTACATTTTGAAAATTCAAATTATTTGAAAAACCTTAAGATTTAGATATTATAAACCTTATTAAAACAGACACTTATTTTGATCGGAGAATCTAAAAATGCAATAGTATTGTGGCGGCATGTTACAATTACATTTTTCGTTCCATCCAAATTTATAAAAATATACAGGGTGTTCCATTTAAATTAACAAAGTTAACATCCGCGGCCATTTTGTTTGGACTTCATTCGTTTTTCTACTATCATTTTCGAAAAATTCATAAAAACTCGTGTAACTTTTATATTTCACATTTTTTTATAANATTAACGGACCACCTATTCTGATTTCTTTGACTCTGTATTGATGCGGATTCGAATCTGAATAGGTAGTAGTGAAAGTTGTGTCTATTCACGAGACCAAAAGTACATTCAACACTAAATAACACTTTATCAAAAAAGTTTACATTTCCTGTCACTTTATCTAACACCCACATGCAAAATTCAGTTCGGTTGTCAAAATCATTTATATAAAGTTCGTGACAAAGCTGGATGAAATCTGTGTTTTTTAAGAATTCTTGAAATACTTGCTTGACTAAGGTTATTATTTTTGGATATCTGATTTTGATTAATACTGGGATTTTCAATAACTGAAGCAAGTACCGTAAAAATATTGCCTTCTTGGCAACTAGATACATCGGAATTTTTATGTAAAATACACGAAATGATGCAAAGAACGATTATTTGGTGTATTCTGTAAAAACGCGAAGACTTAGCTATGAACAACCTAATACCATTCGATAGGTAGTTAAAAAATATGGCTATTTAAATTAATCAAGTTTGATTAATTTTAATTTTTGAACACCCTGTATAAGATGGCAAGTTTATTATTGGTATATAAAATATGATCTATTGTTACACTTCAATGTAAATTTCGCTTACATACCTGATATACATCTTAAGTATTTATTTGAAACAAGAAATCAGGTTACATTTTGAAAATTCAAATTATTTAAAAAACCTTAAGATTTAGATATTATAAACCTTATTAAAACAGACACTTATTTTGATCGGAGAATCCAAAAATGCAATAGTATTGTGGCGGCATGTTACAATTACATTTTTCGTTCCATCCAAATTTATAAAAATATACAGGGTGTTCCATTTAAATTAACAAAGTTAACATCCGCGGCCATTTTGTTTGGACTTCATTCGTTTTTCTACTATCATTTTCGAAAAATTCATAAAAACTCGTGTAACTTTTATATTTCACATTTTTTTATAACTCTCAAAACAAAAAAGTTAAAACTGGGGTCAAAATATAGTGAATCGCCCTGTACACAGACGAGATCATTTCTTCGTTTATGGTGGCAACAGCTTCCTGAATTTTTTGCTTGAGTAAATCAATGTTATCGTCAAAATCGTTTGAATACCCTTTTTGCTTTAGATATCCCTACAAGAAATAATCTAATGGGGACATGTCGGGTACCCGTGCAGGCCAAGGTATTGGTCCATAGCGTCCGATCCACTTGTTCGGGAAGAGAACGTCAAGCCAGTTTCTCACTAGAAGTGTGGAATGTGCAGGGGATCCGTATTCTTGAAGGAAGTCCGTCTTTCTTATGAACTCCAAAATTTCCGTATCTAGTTCTGTCAAAACAAAATTATTGATAATTTCCAAATACGAATTTTGATTGAGATTTTCTTCCAAAAAGTAAGGACCCATTATTTTTATGATACGTTATGCCACATCAGACATTTACTTTTTTTAATTAGTTATCAATCGAAAAATTTGGATTATCTTTAGCCCGGTAGGTAGGTATCTACAATTTTGAGACGAAGCTACGTCATTAGTTGTGAATGTTGATATTGTTGATTCGTTAGTAAATAAAATATTGTGATGAAAGAATCGCAATCATGTCAGAATCAGAATCATGTTTTCAATCAGTTTCTCGCCCACTGTTAAACAATAGTGCTAATGACGACCATCATCTCAATCAAGCAATTTTAACAAAGTTTTTAACGAAATTGAAGGTACTTAGGGACAATTTCACATTTTGAAATTTTTTGGACGCCCTGTATGTTTTATTATCTATTTGACTTGGCTTCCCAAGATAAGCAACATTTTTATCAAGAATAACTCTCGCGAAAAATCAACAATAAAAAAGTATTTCCGATATCAATTGAAGAACCAACAGATTGATAGTATGTACCAAGTTCGGTCGCTGACGCAGCAACTCGGTATTGAAATATTTGAAAAACTTGTTCCCATATTTATTTAACCATACCCATATGCAGGTCTGGTCGAACTAAACGTGGAGGTGATAGAAATGTATACGCTCAGTTGAAGAATGCGAGCGCAGGCAAAGAAAAACGATCACAGTTGCATTGGGCTACTGGGCAATAAATCACAGCAAATGACAAGTGGTTGATAAATTGCCCAGCAGTGCAGTGTAGCAATGCGGAATTTGGCGTGAATCGGGCAATTTTAATATATTATAGGCACCTTCTATCAATCATTCATATTACAATAATTGCGAAAGGGAGAAATGAGAGGGATATTTTGTTTACTAATATTATCACAACATGGCATTTTGGAGGCCTTTTGAAACGGAACAAAACGAAATTTACCGATACGATATTTTTAAATTTACGAAATATGATAAAATTGTTTGAGGACATAAATAATTAAAATATGTTGTTGGTCAAATAAACATATAATAGAAATTTTCTACACATTATATACAAATTATTATAATTTTTTACCTTTAGCAGAAAACTTTTTAGGGACGCCTATGAACCTCATTAAATTTTATTATATATACTGAATATATGTTTTTTTATATGTTACCATACACTTAACAGTATCAATGTTGATTTTTCAAATCAACTGTGTTTACAGTTGATAGTCATTTTCCGCCTAGAATTTTTTTTTACGAACGTTTTAATATTTACTGTTTATTGCAAAGACAAAACATTAATCCTGTAATCTTTTTTTCTAAATTGTTGAACATCCTAAACAGTATAATCAAATGCGAGAACTCAGAAATTATAGATTTTCACATTCATCAAATGAATACATGACATCGGGATCCTTTTCAAATAAAAATGTATGCTCCTTACTACAGTGAAATAGAATTACGATTGATATACTCTGCTGAACCATAACAGAAAGAAACAATTCTTCGATTTCGATTTTATCCTGTTTGTTGAGAAAACATTAATCGATTTACCCAAATTTACACTAAAAACAATTTCAGTTTCTAAATGTTTTTAGTCAGTGGAAGAATTTTTAAATGAACATGTTTTCTTGCTCTTTTTTGTGCATAACGTTTACGATTTTTTTAATAATTTTATATTCTTTTAATTGGTCGGTCACATCTGTTATTTGTTAATAAGTGAA